TATATTGTTTTGTACAATTTAGACAAAATTTTCATTTTTGAATGATAAACGCAATTTGGCATTTGGAGCGTAACATGTAATACATTTTATCACCACTTTTATATATGTTTGGCATTTATTCTTCAATATTATGACAATGTTCGAATGTCGTAGGATTTTTCTGTCTGGAAAAATATTTACTTTTCTATTTAGGGTTCTCTAAATAAAAACCCCTTTTCTTGGCTGTAGGGAAATATGCAATATCCTTTCCCGTATTAAGAATATTTGTGGTTTTTTCACTTTGTTCTGTTTATGTTTATGCTATCGTTTTTCTCTCGTTTGTACATTTATAAATTTATTTTATCCGTATTTCATATGGAATGTCCTTTGAAAAGTTTATTACCTTACAACATGCATAATAGTATATTCAAATTACACCTTTCCACATTCCATGAACTGAAACTACTCTATGTGGCCTCTGGCCATGTTATAAATGCCTATGGTTTCGTTAGATATCCTGGAATCCGCAAAAAATACAAAAACATTGAAACTAGTTCAATTTTGACTGAAACATTAATATATATATAAGGTGTTGTTATTCTGCTATTTCTCTCACGGCGTGTACCGAGTGAATTCGCATACTTAGTGCGTCACTGTTTACGACACAGCAGATGTCAAGCGCCGACAAGGCTCCGAAGAAGAGGCTGCCGCCATTGAATAATTATGTTGTGTGAGTTTTGGAGCAGTAACTTTTGTTATTCTCTGTATATAAAGAACGGTTGTTCTGTATAAATATTGATTTTTCTTTTATTACAGAATTCCCGAAGATTGTTTTTGTCAAACAATTTAAATCGTTGCATCTAATACGATAGTATTTAATTTATTGTTCTTGAGATGTGTGCGTGCTACTTTTTGGAAAATCATTTTTCGTTTTATTCATCAGTTTTTTTAATATTGCAGACCAGTAGTCTAGGCTAAGATTATCATTTACAAATACAAGAAATTCCATTCAATTTCTTGTGTTCGGAGCACCTTAAAATGTAATTTTTAGAGGCAGAAAAATGGAGAAAATGGATAACAATACTATAGATAAGCGTCAAGTACGTCATTAAATAAAATTAATAATAGTGATTAAATGTTTTCATTTCATAGAAACAAATAATGCAAAGAGAATGTCAAATGATAAAATGCACTAAAAACCTCAGATGCCTGAATATCAAAACCCTTATAGACACAAGATAAAAAGTTATTTGACAGCAAATGCAGAAGTTTGAATTGTATTCATGCGATTAAAACGCTGTTTGTTGAGAGGGGCGGATGATATACCAGGTCATTTCCAGCTAAGTCAAGCACTAGATCGCCGGACACCTAGAGGGAGTAGGTCACGGATTGCGCAGTCAGCACCGCCCCCTTCGCCGCCTGCTCCCAGCGCCGTGTTAGCACGGCGCGGCGCTTCGGGCCCCGTCTCCCCGATCCCTCCGCGGCGATTTCCAATTATACAGAGGAAACAAGCCGTTCTCACAGGGATCGATAGGTCGAAAGCGCCACCAGCCGACGTCCCGCCCCGCTCCGTTCCTTCTCCCTGCCCCCACCCAAAACGCGCTCCCGTCTGACCGCTCACCGGCGGAGGTATCCGCCCGTGTCCGCGCGCCCGTGTCCGAGCGGGGAGCCGCTCGCCTTTTCCACCCGACCTCCTGCCCCCCCCTCCCTCGCTGTCCGTTTGGCTGCCGCTCCCTGCTTCCTCTCGCCAGCCCACCCCACCTGTCGGTCGCTCGCCCACCTACTCGACTCACCTTCTCTCGGCGGCTTCCCTCGGCCGTCCGCCATCTGCTCGCTCTCGCAGAGGGGCCGTCCGAAAGTTTCCTCTCTCGAGTAGATACGAGGACCCATTAGGCTCTCTCGCAACTGGCTGAGGCTAGGCAGCTCGGAAGTTGGGGAGGAGGGGGCACTCCCCGTCCCCATACCGCAGGTTCCGCACATCCCTCCCTCCCTCTTTCTCTCCCCTCTTCCTCTCACTCTCGTAACTCGACTCCCTTGCCAATTTCTGTAACTCTGTCACGTATAGGCCGTCGGATTGTCGAAATGAGCATCGCTCCTCCGGCAAGAGGCGAACGAAACGTCGACCGTTGTTAAATGAACAACTTCCTGGGTGAAGTCCTGAGATGTTTCTAAGATGGAAGCCTTCTAGGGGGAAAAGTGAAATAGAGGAACGGAAAGCCAAGCACAGAACTAGCCCCGACACAGAATCGTGAATTGACTCGCTGAACTGAAGTGTAAATACAGTGACAGTCACGCAACATCACTAAACAGTCGACAAGGGCAAACACTAACTTAATAAAAACCATTTCTTTCATATTTAATTTAGACTGAAAATAACCCCCAAATAATGATTTCGGTAATTTCAAATACGTTTGGTACGTTAATGTATTTGTACATTGCACAAAAATATATTGTGCTTTTTTTTGTTCATAAGTTCAACTTATTTTTAATAATTTAAAATTATGGTATAAGCGCATTTTGTCAATGTGTGAAATATTTGCTGTTCCCACCAAAAGGATAATTTCAGATACTTATTACCATCATCTCCCAGAACTACTTGGCCTGAACAGTGTTAATTCTCATATTCTAAAAAAGTTATTTCAGGTATCATTTGATTAATAAACTATTGCGAAAGTAAATAATACGTAATCCCAGTGGTACTTCCACGGTGATGACTCATTGGGATTTAACCCCCTCCGATTTCGATGATAAAAATCTTTCAATATCAGTTGAATGCGATACAAATAATTATGAACTAACAAAGACTGTCTTTTTAGCGTAAATGCACAAGCACTTACATGAAAACGTCAGTTCGGCTGGACACTAGTTCACCTATAACTGCCGGTATACAGGAAAATCGTGGTAGCGCCACTGCCTAAACCACGTAAGTAAGCAACTGCTGCATAGTTATTTTGACCGACATAATTTCATTCATTTCTACAGTTGTCTTTAATTTGCATTCTAATTGTTCTTCTTTCTCTGCTTATGACGATTTTAAAGGCTACTTGTTGGGTTTACATTTTGGGTATGTTGTAATAATGAAATTTTTATTTGGTCTACGTTCAGTCCGAACAGATTACCCTAAACAATCCTCTTCTCTACAAGCAGTTCTCTAGTAGGAACCACATACGTCAACAATTTACTAAGAAAATTATTGTGAGTTCAGATGTTCACACAACCCAAGAAATGCTCTCACGGTATAATACAAAGGAAATCATTGAATCTCTGCCTTCGTTTTTCATTGGCATTTGTGGTCTTCTTTGTTCTAAAGAAATGTCCATATTTTTGTGCTTCAAGGCAAATTCCACCTATATGGTAATTTTCGGACTATTTTCCATTTAATATTATGAAAGGAAGAAAGGTGCCTTGTTCATTGGGAAAGACAGTTTTGTACCCGAGGCCATTACCCTTATTAAGGAAAAGAAATAGGAAAATTCAGAGGATATTTTTATGGGCTGAAAATACTGGAGAGCACATATCAAGGGGCATTGCAACAGACATTTTAAATAAAGAACTTAATCAGTTTCAAACAGCTACCTTTTTACATTATTTATTAACAGTTTTTTTGTTTTGCTCGCGCTCTTGGGTAAAACTTGTGCATGATGTTTGTTGTACTTGTAGATACTTGGGCTTCAGGATAGTTTTCCTCTGGAGTGTGCCACAATTTTTTTGACTTTCCTGCTTTCAATCTCAGTGGTGGAGGTAGGTTCTCGGAGATCTTTGAGAAGTTTTAATTTCATCCTAAGATTGGGATTGACTAACGCGTTCGAGAGTTATAGATCTATGGGTGCCCCCAGATAAGAGTAAAATGTTTCCCTAAACCAAATAAAATATAAGAAGTTAAACTATAACTCCAACATAAAAATAATAGTTTTGAAACGTTTCTTAGCCCCCGACCCACCACACACATCTCTGTAGGCCAAAAGGTGTTTTTTCATAAACTTTACACTATTTTATGTGATTGAAAATATGAAAATAAGAAAAAAA